TATGACTACCCGACCAAACGTCTCCACTACCCTACTGAAGTTCGAGGTTATTACAGGTCATCAACTAATCGCGAGAGGGGGCACAGTAGGGTGGTGGAGACGTTTGGTCGGAGTAGTCATAAATTGCTTCGATCCTTTCAGGCTCTGAAGAAGGCGATCCCGCCGAAACGTAAGCCAATAAAGGTGATTTGACAACCTCGTGTGGATCTCAATCAAGAAATCTTACAATTATCACGATGCCGAGGTTCATGGAGAGCCGTACATGGCGTTTACCAGGACACATCCTGCCTTTCGGAAAATTCTTGTGAAATACGATCTCAAAACACTGTTTCGACCCTCTTCCCAGTTCCCCGCCCTAGCCACCATTTTCGGAAATCCGCCAACTTCCTACCCCTTTTCCGAAGTTTTCCCCAAAAAATACTGCCGTCGAGAGGTATATGGTGCACGTGAGACATGAAACCGAGAAGTCAACAATCAAAATAATTATTCTCAAAGGCAGAAGCGCCTCCCGTGACCTAAAACACCGCTCCCGCGACGTGCCCTGATTGATACTCGACGGGAGATCTTGGAAAACAGAAACCACTAAACGAGGGTAAACTATTTTGCTCAATTGATCAATTTAAGTGATAAGCTCGTCTGCCAGAGAGTTTCTCCTAATTTGAATGGCTCTCCCGCAAATCAAGATATACCTGACCTAGCCGGAACATTCAAAACTCAATCATATTTTACACAGTACCGACCTTTACCAGAAACATCTAGAACCCGTACACCTTCCATCGATTGATATCACATGCTTTGCCTAGCTGAGCAATAATAAATCTGCAACGGTAAAACATGGATACCAGCTGTGAAAACACATTTACATAGGAAATCTGAATCAGTCCTCCCCCAGAACTGTTTCCCAAAGAAAGTATCTACCCTTTGTAGTCACATGGACTGATGCATTTCTCTCAACACAGTACTGGCGCGGTACCGCGTTAAAACCGAAACAAACACAGAAATATAAACATCATTCATTTCCGCAAAAACCATTAACAATAACAATCAAAGGCGCATATTTAGAACTGAATGACTTGTCCACGTGCCTTCTTTTGTCCTCCCAACTCGAAGTGCTTGCATCTGAAATTTAAAGAAATATAAGCTACACTACTAATACTGAGCAAAAAAAACAATAACAAATAGCTTAATCTGATGGAATAATCTGGTAAAATTTCAGAGCGATTATGATTAATCATTTTCAGGGCCCTGAAGAGGATGCTAAGTACCGAAGGGCGCAGGATGGAAATCTGTAGATTATTGTGAAGCTATGCATTAACATTAATTTCGTTTATGCTTAACAGAGCTGCAGAACTCAACAAGGTAGGACTCGTAAGTGCGTAGGAACTATTAAAAAAATCAATCTCTAGCAGAATCCCCTCCAAGCCGAACAGGGAAACATTCAAAGAGAGAAGAATTTGCAAGAGCTTCTGTATTGTTTTGAATCCTTAGACATTTGCAGTATAACTTCTTATCTTTTTACATTCGCAGGTTCAAAGAGGAAACCTCAACAAGTTTTAAAGTTTTAAACGAATGTCTGATGATGCACCCTTCCCCATAGGTTATGCTGATTTTACATACCGCTTGATTGGCAACTGCTTCTTATGTTTACATTCGGTACATTCCATACGAAGCACAATTTTCTTCGTCGTCTTGGCCTTCTTCCTGAAGATAGGCTTGGTTTGACCACCAAAGCCAGCCTGTTTGCGATCGTAACGACGTCGACCTAAAACAATAAAATAAGGATCATGCATGGCACAACAATAGGCCTGACAACCGATAAACGCTCGAGCTATCGAAGATTGTCACTCATGGGCTTTTCTTTTCGTCCATGTAACTTTAGCCGTTATTATACGGTCTTTGAACTGTTGTCAATACTGGGATTACACTGATGGAGGGAGCAATAAAAGGGAGACGGACGACACAGTCAATCATTATCATTTCCCGTTCCCTTCAACGCTAAATTACGACCTTAGTAAGGTGCGGTGTCGTCCACCACGCAGACGAGCGCGACACCTTGTCATATACCCAACAACAAGCTTCAAAGAAAAGTGGTCTCAGGCCTGACATCTTGTTTATAACCTTACATCTGGTTACTGATAATATAATGCTAGCAGGCGTATGATCTGCTTCATTAGGCCTCAGGTCAGTGGCGTACCGTACGGAATTACCAAGGTCTTGTTTGTAACCAACTCCAAGCTAGAGGATTGTAGAACCGGGGATTCTTGGAAAAGGGCTAGATATAAACCGATTTCGTCAATATTTGGACGAAGAAGAGGGAATCGATCCGCATCTTGCTATCGGCATGGTCCGTTCTCAGGGCACTTGTCAACTGCGAGGCCTCTCTTCTCCTTCCTGTTTTCTTTCTCCTTCTTCTTCCTTCCTTCCTTCTCTGTTCCCTCCTCCTTTACCTTCTCCCTTCAACTACTGGGCTAGTAGATGCCACGAGAAAATACCCCTGGACCCTCGCAGCGAGAGCACGTCTGGTTGACAAGTGCCCCGTAACCCATGGACTCTCCACATTTCGCAATACTCTCGGTCGTCCCTCAAGTACTTCGACGGCTTAAACACGGTCTTATTGTTAGGACAAATTTCACCGAATGCCACGAATCTTCCCAACCGAACAATTGTATTCAGTAGCGACTATAGCGGGACGCGTTCGTAACTGATTCAAAAGTTTTTGAAGAAGTCGATGCTTTGAGCACCATTACTTAGCGCATTTATCTTTCAGTGGAATAGGCGATAGCATCTCAAAAATTCAACGACTGCGATGGTCTAAGCGCTTGCACTGAAGGTATACTTGAAAACAAAACGTTACAAATTTTATGGTGATGGTCGCTAAAAGGAATACTGTGTCATGACAACGATGAAATATCCCTAGAATGCAACTTCGCACTTTGGCTTGCAAAAGGTAAGTAACGGGTGGTGAGGAAGAGAAAACGAAGGCAGTGTTCATACTTTCTGGCACGGCCCTTTGGAAGAATTAGCGTCTCGAGTGGACTGGCCTTTTAAGAGAGTAAGCGTTTGGAGCGAAAGAAAAATCTAGGTATCCAGGTATCAACCAATCAACACGCTGATTCTCTCACAACGCCAGATCGCAAGCCACACTTTCTTTTCCGCTCAGAACGCCGAATCGCACAGTATGAACGCAGCCGAGGGTTGCACAAGGAAACTGACAAGGATAGACTTTCCTTTTTCGAGGGGCACTCATCCAAAATCGTATGTCTCACGGTTGAAAATTTTGGGCGTTCATGACAAATTGACGCTAGTAAAATTACCTTTCGTTTTTCTAATGGGGTAAAAGGCAGAAGAAAGACTGGAGGACGCTCACGTTCATACAAAAATTCGAACAAAAACGATTAAAAGGTACGAAAATTACGGGATTGCAAAATTCTGCCACTTATAGGATAAAAACCATCAACCCATTGCCTACCGACTCACTAGCATTTCTACAGTCTGACATGAAAAAGGAACCTTACTTCTGCGGCTTTAGCGCTACAGC